AGAGCTGGAGCAGTTTGCCAAGGACCTCAAGCACAAGCGCATCATGCTGGGCTTCACACAGGCTGACGTGGGGCTGGCGCTGGGCACCCTCTATGGTAAGGGCCCTGTGAAGGGTCCTGGTTCCCACCCCCCGACAGCCATGGTGGGGGCCGGGGGGAGGCCTGGGAGGGGGATGAAGGGGCCTGGGAGGGGGATGGAGCACCGCAGCGATTGAAATCTCTGCTCCTTAACGACCTGCGAAGGAGCTGCTGAGCACCAGCCCCAGGGCTGCCCATTCCTGTTGAGCACTCAACAGCTCAAGCTGGAAGGGTTTGATTGGGATTCAAATGGCTACGGCTGGTCACACTAGAGCGTGTCAACGGGTTTTTTGAGCGTTTCAGTGCTTTCAATCCCCACTGAAGCAGCAGGGAGAACCTGTCCTGGTCCCCCAATGACCAGGGGCAGAGGATGCTGGAGGGGAGCATCCGGGGGGATGCTGTAGGGGGGAGATCCCCTGGTGCAGGGGCAGGAGCACTGCGTGGCGTGATGTGACGTGACGTGACGTGACGCCCTGCCTGCCTGCGCAGGGAAGATGTTCAGCCAGACAACCATCTGCCGCTTCGAAGCGCTCCAGCTCAGCTTCAAGAACATGTGCAAGCTGAAGCCGCTGCTGCAGCGCTGGCTCAACGAGGCGGAGAACACGGACAACATGCAAGAGGTACGGGGCTGGGGGAAGTGGGAGTCAGGGGCACTGCGCACCCACAAGCCCTTGAGCTGCACCTTCTCCCTTTCACATGTGCTTTTTGGGGAGAGAGGAGGGGAGCAGCAGGCGTCTTGTGCTGTAGCAGCATCTCGCTGCAACAGTTTTGGTCCAGCTTGCTGCTCCTTGGTGGGATGAAGATGGGTCAGCACCAGCTGCAGGCAGTGCTAGGACACTGGGGATGGCCTTGGTCACAGTGGGGTGACATCAGTGGACAGTCATGGGGACAAAGCCTATCCCCAAACCTCTGCAGCTGGCTGTGCCCGTGTCCAGAGCCTGGTGGCGACGTGACCACCCCTGTGACCCCTGTGACCAACTGTGTGGTCTCTATCGATTCCAGATGTGCAATGCGGAGCAAGTGTTGGCCCAAGCTCGGAAGAGAAAACGCAGGACCAGCATCGAGACCAACGTGAAGGGGACGCTGGAGAGCTTCTTCCGCAAGTGCGTGAAGCCCAGCCCGCAGGAGATCTCCCAGATCGCCGAGGACCTCAACCTGGACAAAGATGTAGGTTGGGAGGGAGGGGTTGCAGGGTTGGGTGCCCAAGCAGCTGCATCTCCTGAGCACAGCATCAGACCAGTTCATTACTGGAAGCGGTGGGAGAGTGGTCGGGGCTGGTAGCCACCATCGCCCTGTGTGAGCCCAGCCCCAGGAAGGAGGCTGTGTTGGTGGGTTGGGGCGTTGTGCAGACGCCACCAGCAAGCAGCAAGGTCTCCTTGTGACCCACACAGCGCCTGGGTGTCCCCCCTCACCCTTCCCGCTCTCCCCTCCCTCGCAGGTGGTGCGGGTCTGGTTCTGCAACCGGCGTCAGAAAGGCAAACGGCTGCTGCTGCCCTTCGGCAACGAGGCGGAGGGGGTGATGTACGACATGAACCAGTCCCTGGTGCCCGCCGGCCTGCCCATCCCGGTGACGTCCCAGGGCTACAGCCTGGCGCCCTCCCCTCCCGTCTACATGCCGCCCCCCTTCCACAAAGCCGAGATGTTCCC